TCTACATCTAATCCTCAACTTATAAATTTTCAAACTAATAATTCATGGCTATTTGTAAGACCCATCTTGTAGCATACTTGATCCTTAAAAACAACCCATGCTAAAAGCCGTTTAGGAATTAGGAAACCCAGGATACTGTCCTGTGAGCAGCCGTAGGAGTATAATTACCTACGGTAAAATTGCTTATAGCTAACGGTAAGGCGGTTTTATTACCACCTTGAACTAAGGTCTCAGAGCTGTCTATTTAATGTGTTTTCCAAGACTTATTGTCTCATTGCTTATATCTACCGAGAAAGATTCATGATCATCCTTGATCCGAGTGTTGCAAGCAGCACGCGTGGAGCTGACAATAGGGTTTATTTCAATGTTCTAAAGTAGACTTTTATTGGTATCATCAAACGTCAAATGGTACACGAAGTGCACTACTCATCAAATGTAGTGTTCTTTCTTTAGTATACTCACAGAGAAGTAATATTTATATTATACAAATATTAAGATTTCTTCTCTGTGATATACTCATGTATGTCTCGTATTACTCTACATAGATTCTCGTCCCAAAAACGTAGTGTAGGCCTACTTGGATGTAATTACAAAATTAAATTTACAATTGTTCTTTGTTACTGTTCGATCGTCTTACATTTTGTATTATGATTTTATTAAGTCTCAAAGGATTATTTAGATGTGGGCATATTTTACCTATTTATCTTTATTTCACGCGCACGGCTCATTAAATAAGTTTTTTAAACATTTGATAAAAAATTTCGATTATAAAAATTAGTAAAATTGAATTCGGTGAAAATTATGTCTTTTTCCACCTACGTATACTACAAGTTTTACATTTTTATAACCTAACTACACATTTTCAATTGCATTAAACTTACGTTCATCAGTTACGTTCTTGGAAATATCTTAGCTTTTTACTGTACATTGGGAGTTGTAGCATAGACAATAGAGTACATTTTATATTTATTTCTTTTTGTCTATGGTTGTAGTAAAGTGCAGATGGAGTATAACTAAAATATTTTGCTGTAAACAAAGTAAAACCGGAATGTTCTCTTAACATTTTCCTCCCTAGTTTTTACTCCTCAGCGCAATAGAAGTATTAAAAATGGGTAATGATATTTTGAAATGAAATTTGAATGATTTTGAATGAGGTTTGTAGCCTAAATGTCAAACAACACTTTTTAAAGTACTTCTCGTGCTGACCAGTGCAAGATTATTTGATCTTTTAAACACAAGGACATACACCAGGAATAATTTCCTATTAAAATAAATACAGTAATGTTACCTATACAATCATTGACTAGGAATGCTGAAGTTCGAAACCCAAAACAGTACTTTCTACACCAGTGACCAACATCATTACAAAATCAAATAAATATGATTTAAAAACAAATAATCATAATTGTTGTCATAGATTAGCCAATAATTTCAACACAAATTCGGACTTTTGTGAGGGCCAAACAAGATTACTCATGAAAGTGTAATCATAATTACATTTAATTACTCTTGATTATCGTCTTCACCAACATAATCGGTTATAATTACGTTTCACCTTCTAATTATACAATCGGTACCTAATCATGTCACGCCGACTCTTGTCAGTTACAACGCGAACGTAAACAAAACCACGCTGTATCATCTGTATCTACATTACAGTAGGCCAAGGTTATTCGCCCACTCCACAAATTGAAGACGTACTTTATTCCTTCCTCTATGTTATTTGTGCTTGACGTCACCAAAACTCTACATGTTTTACTTTCTCTCCCCGAACACAGTAAATGGACACATTATTGTTTTCGTGGACCATTTGGTTTCTGGTGGCAATTTTCGTTTTGGGCGTCTATGAACCTAAAAAGTTTCGAAGTGATGTCTGTGTGTAGAACTACAGACCACTAATGGTATGATTTAAATGAAATGTGGTATGTGTGTTATAATCCATAGTATCTTCAAACCTCTTATTCTTATTATTTTTTTATTTTATTTTGAGTTGTAATGGTTATTATCAAGCATAAGCACATATTAAATAACAGAATAATCTGAAACAGATTGAAAGATTTTGACTGAAGTTTAGTATGTCACAGTCCTTTTAACCCTGAACATAATGGAACAACCTTACAATCTTGCTGTAAAAATTATAGTTCAAAAGCTATTGCAAGTTTTGTGAATTTTCTCACAAAACCCCTTAAGCTACCCCGTCCTATTACCCCAATATTTTCTATATCAGTATGCATTTGAGGCAATACTTCTTACTAGAAATCAATTGTTCTACTATCACTTGTTAAAGGTAATTCCAATTGATGGTGTTATTGATACACATCGATGTTTATTTCCACGCTTTTGTATTGAAAAAACATTTATCTTAATTGACAAATTCTACTGGGAAAACTAGACATACCAGCTTTCAAATCGCCGAAAGTTTTCTATTAACATTTATTTACTGAAGGTAAGTTGTAAAAAACGAAAGGGAAATCTAAATCTTTTAGCTCTAATTACATTTTTAACTAAAATTTATTGGTATGAAAAAGTCACATAATTTGATTTAGGCCTACTCTTCTTTGTAGATTGTATGCATCAGTGGTTGATGTAGCTGACGGTTTTTTTATTTATCAAAATGTAATCGATATTCCTTTCACGTATGTATCATATTATTTCTGTTCATACAAAAATGACACGATTAAAAAAAAAAATAAAACAACATATGTTTCTGTCAACAACAAGGGTCAACCTTGACCCTCTAGGTGGTGTTTTGATCGCTACGTTCTCTCGGATAGTTTTTGAACTCGTGGGTGGAATCTGTGGGATTGTGGTTGGGATGGGAAGGCAGTAGGTCAAAGGAAACAGTTGAAACCCTAGTCAGGATAGAATCAGTATAACGGCCTTGGACGAGATTATTGATATGTTCCAACCGGTCCGTCGTTATCTAGCTAGAACTAGAACTAAATAGAACTGACTTTTGGGAGTAGAGTAGTTGAACCTAAACAAATTTGATCAATTCTCTATACTGATTGATTTTACCTCCGCAGCAATTCCTCAATTTTTTTTATTATTTGTCCACAATTGCAGAATATTCAACTAATCAGGATATCCTACTTGTTAACAACAGCGATTATTTGTAAGACAATAATAGGCAACGGTTTTCTTGAAAACTTTACCATGCTAGCTGAAAACCTTTGTCTATTGCACACATGCATTTAATTTACTCTGAAGGGAAGGCAAGCCATATACCTCAGTGTTAGGTGTCCCTCGAATTGACCTTGTGTTTTGAGAATTGATTTACAATAAGTTGACGTATCGGTAATAACCCGGTCTTGAAATGAAAATATTTTTAATATTCGTCCGGACTAAACACAAACTTAAATAAGAGACGAGGTGACGTGATAGAAAAATAATGAAAATGAGTTAGGACACATCCTAGATGATTACTCTGAGTCTTTATATTTAGGGTGTTCTAAAAATGTGCTCTCAAAGATTGGCAGTAATACTATTCGCAGATACTATCTGCTATACACATGCTTTGCAACGGCATAACGCTCCTTTCACACTAGGCTTATACGATTTCGCTCGTGCGGTTATTAATCGTATTTGTAGTCGTCCATTCTGGAGCTTGAGGACGCGAAATAGAATATAATGCGGTTCTTAAGATCCGTATAAAATACAGTTACTCTTTCATTTTAGACACAAAACACACAAATCAGTGTAAAAAAAAGCTTGTAAAAAAGCTTTTAAAAATTCGAGTAAGGCTTTAAATTTCTAGGCAACCTAGTGTGGTTCATAAGTGGGGCGCTGATCAAGGCCCCACTAGAAAGTTTTTTCTAGTGGGGCCTTGCGCTGATGCGTGTTTAAAAAAAATACTCTATCCATATGATTTAATTTGAAAAGATAAACTTGCCGTATTTAAAAGTGTAAAGCTACTTACTCCTGTGCTAATGTAAGTCAGATTCAAAAGAATCTAGTAACATATCGCATTGAAGCAAGAATCTAGTAACATATCGCATTGAAGCAATAAAATCAATTCTCGATAATGATGTTCCAAAAGATGAAGATGTTTTACAGTAATTCTTCAATTTTAGCCAATCCTCTTTAAATTTAGCTCATTGTATGGATTTCACAGAAAACTATAAAACTCCAGTAGTTTTTATTGGGTTTCAATGTGAAATGCTATTTCGCATTTCAATGTTGGTTGGATTAATTCAGAATGGTTATGAATAGTTAAATATATTTATGCTCAAGTTAGGAGGTACCGAATTCTCGTCATCATTGCTAAGGCAGTGTAGTGGGTAATTGACATTTGCTCCACCACTGTACTGTACTATCAGCTGAATGATAAGACCTGATGACGTAGACCAATCACGTGATGCGTGGAGGTGTGTCCCTTTGTCTTATCATCCTTATGCTCATAAACTGTGAGAGTAAAAATTATTGTAAACACAGACATAATCAACGTATGATAAATTTTGTTATAAGATGATAATGTTTACAGTGTAATTTTAGGTTGAAATTGCCTTTGAATTAATTGATCGGTAAGCTAAAATTGTATTATAAGGGAGATTGAACGTTTAATATAAATTTTATAAGTGCATAGAAAAAAATAAATAAAAAAATAAAATTAAATAAAAAAATGAAACCGTAGCTTATATTTTACCTTAAGTATTTAATAAACAAAATATTTAAAAATGTGTGGACCAAAACAGAAATTTAATTTTCCTCCTCCAATTGGTGGGACAGATAAACAAGTCTAAGTGTAGTGAGTACAGTAGTGGTGAAAGTAGCCCTCTTAACACATACAGTAATATGTTTCTGTACAAAGAGTGATTCTATTTTTGTATAGATCAAATATTGTATGGAATATTAACAACATGAACAACGACTGCGACTTTAGCTTGATGGAGACCGTTGTTTACCAACCCTCATACTGTAGCTAATGAAAACTGCTCCACATTTAATTTAATGCAATACCCAATAGCCTCTTTTAATTATTGTTATATATCTGTCTGCAGGTGGATCATGGTATACGGTTCCCGTGGGATGCCAAACAGCAGAACATGATCATTGGGAGTTTCTTCTGGGGCTACATCTGTACGGAGCTGCCCGGCGGACGGTTGGCGGAGATGGTTGGAGCTCGGAGAGTGTTTGGATACTCCATGTTGGCCGCTGCTATCATCACTCTCATCACTCCCTTGGCTACCAGAGTCGGCTACGTAGTGGTGGTCATCTCCAGGGTCCTACTGGGGTTCATGTTGGTACGTATAACTACAGCCAATACATGTCACAAGCCGTATGATATATAGTTTTTTTTAACACAATCCAAATTATGTACAAATATAGAGAGTTACTGTTTAGAAGGAAAACAAGCTTATAGTTGACAGCCCTGCTTCATTTACTTCATTACTGATCAGCTGATATTAATTGTTGCATTGTTGTCTACAGTTAAATGTTATTGGGATGTTATTGAAAGTAAGACTCAATAATGCTTTTTTCTCAAATGAAACCCATGTTTAAGGTTGGTTATTGAAAATCTATGGGAAAATACATATTGTATTAGTGATCTTTACATTTTATACAGCTCGGCACTGGAATCCTACCTAGAAATTTAGTTGCAAACCTGTCTTGCCATAAACCGATGATTTATCTTCTACAAAAAATACTATTTTACTAACTATACGCTTCATTATCTTTAGGTGTAGTTAATGAATTGGCCAGCTTAATAAATGGTCCTGGGCAAAGAAGAAGCTAATCTTAGTCTGCAAAAAGCTTATCCTTGCATTCCTACTCAGCTTGAAATACAATTCTTATTGGTATGCATCACTGCTTGTTTTATAATAACATTTTCACTCTTTATTCTGAACTCAAATCAATCTCTGACCTTTACCTCAATGTATCCCACTGGGAGTTTCAAAATAGTGCATTTCATCACTGGGAACTAAAACTTGAGCTCACGTTTAGAGACCAATACTAAGGTTAGAAACTGAGTAGCGATAAAAACACATCTGGCCCATGTGATGAACACTATTGTTATCATACTGTGAATTCCAATCAAAAAAGTAGTGCTTTTACCTCAAAAAAAAAAAAAAAAAAAAAAAACAATTAGAAAAATACAATCATGGTGTTTGGGATCTGGGATTGAGCCCTGTTCTTCAGATACACCTATCTAGAACATAACATGCGTATCACAAATCAGTTTGTTGTGAAACACAATAATTATTTCAACAGTAATGTGAAATTTAAATGGTTCAAATGAAAACCAAACAGAGTTTGTGTAGTAGATATCTTAGACTGTACCACTGTGACCTTACTTTGATGGATTTTTTGTTGGATTCATCTGTACATTTGTTCTTATTGTATTTCCCAGCATTGCCTGATTTCTGTACTAGTCTTGCCATATTTTCGGTTCATTCGTACCTATAGAAAGGATTCTAGATCTCCCTCTACCCTACAAACTTTTGTTTTCCTAATCAGTGATACAATAAAATGTCCGTAATAATGAGAAAAATAATATTCTATAAGATCAGATACATAATTCACTGTCATTAACATGTATAATAGAAAATATAATTTAATAAAAACAAAAAATCTAAGTTGTTTCATGTTGAACTTGGATTTTCCCTCTCCATTGTAAAATCAACACTACTCTCAAGGATGTCAACGCTTGTTAAACCATTCAACATTTTATACACTTTCTTTGGTAGGTCTCTTAAAATATACAAAATGGCTGTACAGAAAGTAATACCAGCCATATAGTCATGCAGCTATAAATGAAACAATCAGTTGACTATGTTATACTGTAGTTGTGATGACAACTTCCGCTTGTTACTACTTGTTCTAAATGAAAGCAGAGGGGTAAGTCGACCTTGTAGGACATGTTAGATACCAAGCTGAAGCACATTGCTCGATAACGTTTCAGATATTGAACCGCACTCTTTGATTTAATAATCTGGCAGAGTGGCTTCAAACTGAAAATGTATCTTATCTTTGTACCTGAGGACAACAAGTTCAATTTGAAACATTGTAGAACAATAATACAAGTAAATTAAATAACTAAATTTTCTTATTTTTATTGATGCCATTGGCTTGAAACTCTTCTCTAATAACTCTGTACCCACAAAGTACCTATTTTCGATGATAGGTAATAAAAATTTTTTTTCCCGAGCCTGATTTAGAGCAAGGGAAAGGCGATCAGCTGATTTGCCCTCGTTCTCAGCTGGATCTCCATTTGCTCACTACGCACTGGTGTTTCTTTTCCATTTATTTTTATAACTAGCTGTACCCGCGGGCTTTGCCCCGCTTAACTTCATAAGTATTCGCATGGCTCAATCACGTCCTGGTTGAAGTTCGTTCGCTGCCCTCACTCACCTTCAGGTTGGAAATCGTTCGCTGCGTTCACTTGTTTTCAGGTTAGCTCGTTCGCTACGCTTACTCGCCTCCAGGTTGATGTTCGTTCGCTACGCTCACTCACCTTTTGATTGCAAATTAGCTGTTGTCATAAATTTTAAAAAGTCATCCCTTTTATTGTTTATAATACTTTGATAAAGGTTTTTATGTTTTAATATTTAACATTGGAGAATTTAAACGTTGTTAAGTGCACAGGAGTGCTGCGATTGGGGTTTAATACATTTGGACTTATTCAAAAATAAAATAGTTTTCTGTGCTGCACTCTGTAGAAACACTGTGGCACTATTTCAAATCATGACTAATGCTAAAACAGAATGTTGTAATTATTCAAACCTACAAAACAGTTGGTAAAAGTAAACATCTGCTTTTAAATTATATTTATTTGTAAACATTGTAGATCAAAAAGTCTGACATTGGCCCACTTAAAACCCTCTGGGGCAGAGCCCTTTTGATAGATCTGCACCAAACTTCACTCGAACCATCCTTGAAAGATGCTTAATAATGCCTGAAAGTTTCATTACAATCTGTCGAGCGGTTTCGGAGTCCATAACGTATATACATACACACACACATACATAGTTCCTCTTTTATAGATATCGATTTAAATCTGCTGTTTTTACCATTTATGTGCTTAACAATGTAAATTTAAATAGCAATATGATTGTATCTTTTCCTACCACTGCATGGAAATTATCACATTGCCACACCTATAAACAGTAGGCCTACGGAAAACAGCTCATTTTCACTTGATTCATTCTTGCTTAAGATGGGAACACAACTGGGCGTATGTTCATTGAAATATAATTGTGTAGAATGGAGTGAGATGATCACTACTGTCGGGACCACGTAAGTTTGCAGTTGAGGGAGGAGCCTATTAACCATATGGTTTTGAATGAACCAATGAGAACCGTGCGGTGTTGCCAAATCTGTTAATACCAGCTGATTTTAATATATTGCTTAGTATATTTTAAATAGTGTTGTCAACGGGCGATGTGGCAACGTCGCACTAGCCTTGTCTTGTGATTGGCTGCCACCAACTGCAAACTTACGTCGTGGTCCCGACAATAGTGTTAGTGAGCTTGTCACTAAGATCAGCTGTTTCTTTAGCCAGAATCATATTTTAAACTTCGATGATCAGAAACAGCTGGTTCCGGTTTCAAACCATCAATAACCTCTACTAAGTTGTCTCACGACCGAACCAGCAACTTTTTTACTATAGGAACAAGAAAGTAAGTTATGCAGCCTTCTGAATATTTTGGACTTTTACTATCTATCTGCATCCTTCCAGACCTTACAGTTTGATTTTTTCTTTACTGATACAATGATACGATACAATAACTTTTAAACTATTAGTTTTCATTGTATTTAATCTCGATTCCAAATTACAGGGAGCGACTTGGCCGTCTGTACAACCCATGGCTGCCAAATGGATCCCACCCAATGAGAGAAGCAAGTTTATCTCCAACATGATGGGTAATTAACTCAGCACATTGTTAGTGTTACAATTTAATTGTTATACACAGCCAATCAGGTGTCCCACTAGAACGCTTACATTTTCCTTAAAATTTGTATTCATGAAATGTTCAGTACACTAGATGCGTGCTTTCTAGATTTCTATACGTTCTATCTTATATCTCTGGTGAGTGAGCTGATGTAGTGGTTAGAGCGCGGGACTTCAGTCCCTGAGGTCCCGGGTTCAAATCCCACCAAATCACCAATGGATTTTATCTAAGCCATCTCTTACCCATAGTTCCTGGGTAAGGGCAAAGTCCAAATCCCCACCCGCAGTACTCGCGCAGAGTACCGCAGTGGCAGCTTTACTGTGCTGAAGGTTCGCCTGCTTAGTATTCTGATCGTCATCAGGAGCACCTAAAAGAACTTTGAGCTTAACCCTAGATATGCCCAAGAAAATCCTCCAGCCCCTGTCCCTAAGGAACTTGGCACTCACGCAGTCAATCGCCAGAACCAGAGTCTGATGCTCCTCCTCTCGCTAAGTGATAATGTTGCAACCCCTAGGTCTAGCCTGAAGTAATGTGAAAAACAATCTCGGGCTCGTGCCTTAGCGTCCTGGGACAAAAAAATCTTCTATCTCCATTTATTTGGGTGCGAGCTGATCTAGTGATGCTCGGGACTTTGTTCCTCAGGGTTCTGCATTAAAATCCCGCCAATCACCAATGGATTTGATCTAAGTGACAATGCGTTGACCCTCTAGGCCTAGCCTGAAGTAAAGTGAAAACAGGCTGGAGCCTAGTGTCCTAAAATTTAAAGGTATAAACACATTTTAACCCCCCATGAAATGACTGTTGCACCTGCTAACCTAAAAAACAAAAAAAAATATTTTATCTATTATTTTTAGTACATTTATTCTATAACATCAAGAATAGCTTGCGTATTTGGTAAAATATGGTAAAAATAATGCAAATAGCCGATTTTTTAATTGTTTATTAAACATTTTAAAAATGTGATCTGCTAGAACGGTTACCAAATCTTATCTTGGAGTTAGATAATTTTCTATAAATTACTGCAAAACAAGTAAATTGTTTGTGTTTGCAAACTCATTTAGATAATTATTTATTTCTGTTTGTTGGCATCATAGGAAATGATAATCATAGACTTAACTATTGCTTTAACCTTGCAAGATTGAATAATATTTATCACTAACATTATTTGTACATATTTTTTTCATTCATCAATTATCAATTATCAATTATTTAAGATGGGGACGCCACTATGTGCGTATTTTAACCCAAATATGAGTGAAGGATGAGTGTAGGATGAGTGGCGCGATCTTGTAGTCTTGTTAGTGACTAAGGCCGACATGTTCCTTAGACACAGCTGTTAATTAATAGCCCATACAGCTAATGGCAACTAAGGGACCTACAGTTTATAGTGGAATCCGAACCACATTTTTCCTTGTAATTTACGAATTGGTCTAATTATCAGGATAGTACTGCGGATAGTCGTAGTACTCACTAGTGCGGACGTTAATCCACACCAGTGAGCATCGCATCCACAGTGCATCCCTATAAATATCCACAATTCGTGACCTCCTAGTAGCTGGATTACAGGACGACGCCACCCGTCCCAGTCAAACATTAGAACAGATAAATCAATATATCTCTAAAATTAGCAATCCTATACTACATAGCCTCAAATACCTTATAGTGCTCTTTTCACACTAGACGGTTTTTACAGAACGGTTAAGTTCAAGAACCGGTAATTAGTAGGGGTAATTTTTTTAGTAAAGAAGAACTGCATCATTGGCGAATGTACTGTATTTAAATGCAAGGTTTCATATACTGCATGGTTTTTAATTAAACGTGAGCCCACCAGCAAGTGCAAATAGGTCAGCTGTTGCAATGTTTATTCACAAAAGGAAAAAAACTCTTGTTCCCTAGTCTGTGGTTTATTGTTTACAATCTGACTTGACGATTGGACACTGTTTATGTTTATTGTGACATTGTAAACACATTTATCTCGCCTACAGTGAGAAACATTGTACTGAGAAATAAACATAGACACAACTTAAAATCATACTGTTGTGTGTCGGATGGCAAAACCTAGTGTGAAAAGGAGCAAGTCTTCCTTTTACCTTAATTGATCAGCTGCTGTCAACCAAGCAGTTTAAACAAAAACATATTGGAAATGTCATAAACATTATGTTGTCGTCACTGATACGCGATTCACGATTAATACATAGTAACACGACAACTATAGCCCTACATCTAATGGTAACATTTATTTGTTTCAACCATAAAAAATGACAATACACACTGTGCGATCAGTGCGAGAGCCTCTCTTCACCCCTCCCATTGACACTGGAGGACCCCTGCTCCACAGGTATATGTTAGGTAGATTCTAGCTAGGGCTTGGCATTCACATGAGAAGGTTCTCTGTAGCCATTTAACTGTTTAAACGACATATCCTTTATTGAATGTCCTCAGCATCGTCCCTGGGAGCAGCCATCACTCTGCCAGTGTGTGGGTTCCTCATTGCTCACTTTGGCTGGGAGAGTGTGTTCTATGTGACGGGAGTGATTGGCGTCATCTGGGCCATTGTGTGGTTCCTAGTAGTATTTGATCACCCGGCCGATCATCCACGCATCTCGCCTCAGGAGAGACAATACATCGAGAGTGCGCTCGGAACTTCCTCTACCTCCACCAGCCACAAGGTATAGCAGTTGCAAGGTATACTTGCACATTAAAATAAACATAAGGATTTGGACAGCTCTTACAAAAAATCCTAATAAACGCTACTGACATAGACATAATAAAAAAATATTTTTACTATTGATCTTAAAATATTCACACTTTTTCTTACAATAGGGGGTCTATTATAAACAATGGATGCCCAAAATATGTTGGAACAGAACTGTCTTTCGTTTACATTAAGAGGATTTAATTCAATTAGGCAATCAATGTGGACAATTTGAATGTGTATGGATGTGTACTTCATATGTATATTTAATGAAGGTTTACTGTAACATTTTCAATGTTTTCTAATGTAGGCTTTGACAGTGCCTTGGAAGAGTATCATCACATCTCCACCAGTGTGGGCAATCGTCATCACTCACGGAGCAAGTGTCTTCGGATACTTTACTGTGGTCAACCAACTGCCTACTTACATGAAGTATATCTTGGCGTTCAACATTAAAGAGGTTAGTGAATATTGATTGACTAGGTAGGTAGAAGAATGGGTTTTTCATATCCCACCTTCACGTCCTAGGGCGCTAGGATCAAACCTGGAACTGTTTTACACATTACTTCGGGCTAGACCTTGAGGGTTGCAGCATTATCACTTAGATAGAATCCATTGATGATTAGCGGAATTTGAATTCAGGGCCTCGTTGACCAAGCTATGCTCCAGCTTGCTCCCAGTGGTAAGCTTCAAATTCAAAGGCAAGCTTTCCATAATCACTTGGATACCCTATATAACCCAGGGAGAGAAAGAACTACTTTAGCCCCGAAATGCTTGTATTTAAACCTCCATTTTGACTGAAGTAGAATAGTACAATGAAGTGCAATTGATTATTTATGTCTTGAATTTTCAGTTCTTTTAGACCATAAAACTCGTAATGTGACTTAATCTTTTTTTAGAACGGCCTTCTTTCAAGTCTGCCATATTTCGGGAAGTATGTCATGGCCATCACTACCAGTTCAATTGCTGATTATCTGAGGTCTTCTGGAAGACTGTCTACTACTGCAATCAGAAAACTCTTCACAACATTCGGTACGTTTACTTACTAAGTCCCATGGCCACCATATCTAAGGAGATATTTGGCCCTACCAACAAAGCCCCTCCATCTTTCTCTATCTTTTTCAAAAAATACTAGTTCAGTATGCTTTAGTATGTTTAAATTTCACGGTGATTTTAATTTTCAAATTATGCTTCATCTCAAACTAATTAAAAAAAGGTAAGTCTACGTGTATAGTCAGTAAATTGTTTGTCCTATGTGGGGGTTATCTCTGTAAATGAAGATTTTGAACAAGCTCTTGCTACGACTAAGCGGGCTGGTTAAAATGTTGCAGCATATTGTCTTTATCTCTATGCAAAGCTCCAAAGTATTCTTTAACGATGGAAGGAAAAATCTTCCACTAAGTGTTAACTATATACTGCTAATTGATTTTCGTGGTTAAAAGGTGTCAACCTTTTGAAAGAATGTGTATAAAAAGTGTAAGCCGCCACAATTCAACTTGTCACCAGTGTATATTTTTTTATATCTCGCTCTGTGTAGAGATTCTGGTGTCAACGATGGTTTATTAACTGTCATTAAACACGAATGACACTAGACGCTGGATAAACGGTGAAGTTTGGATGTTTAAAGTGGTTTAAAGGAGTTTGCCAAAAGACCCAACAAATTTGCAGAAGACTGGCTGTGGTTGTTCATTATTTATGGAGAGACGTTGACAAAAGTTCAGGAATATTTTACTGTGGCTGTGCGACATATTACCAAACTGATAAGGAAAGTCTCTTACACTCCTTTCACACTCTACGATTTTTACTGTAACAACTAACTCAATTTCAATTTTTAATTTTCTTTTAATTTAATGTACCCTAATTACTTCCTATAAACTGAAATTTAAATTTATATTTCTTAAGCTCGTTGTAGTCCTACTCATAATTTCCTGTTTTCCATAATTTCACCACCCCCTATTGACTGCAGATTTCGTTCCTCTGCTCCTTCAAAACACTGGAATCCCTCAGCCAATGGGTCACAACACACATTATACAGCACGGGTCTCCTGTGTGTGTATTTTTGGGTCTGTCTGTATTGGCTTTTTGAGTCCATGTGAGTTGGACTTGTTGTCTGATGTTCCAGAATGCTATTTACATGTCTTGTGTATCTGTCACCGGAAATCGTATGCATAATTTGCACTTTAGTTTAGGAACAAGAATAGAATCATTGGAAATTATGGAAAATAGGAAGTGATCAATAGGACTAAGTGCTACAGAGTTCAAGGTGATTAACACGTTCACTGCTACGGACGTTCTGGAACGTCAGCTGAGCCACGACGCCAGGAGCTAGGAACGTTCCGGAACTTCACCGTTCATTGTTGTTTAACGTTTCCATGGATCAGCCAGCTCGTCACGAGCGTCCTATATTTCTTTGCAGCTCGTGGGAACGTACTTTTCTGACAATGAAAAATATAGTTCCCAAAATCACCACCAGGGTAGTTTAGAACAGTGCTTTGACCCACCTCTTTCCTGCTAGATAGCAACACTACTTTACCGACTGCAACCTGGGTAGTGCTGCTATCTATTAAAATCGCTTAGTACTATGTCCAAAGTCAGTTTTATTGCAGAACATTGCCATCCAGTATAACTACTGTAGATTTTACTGTAATTCAGTGTATCAGTGGAAATGTTACGCAGCGGCGAGCGTTAGTTCAGCTCCTGGCGCCGTCCCGGCATCTAGTGGTTAGCAGCAAACGTGTTAAGAAATAGGAATGGAAATTCGCTTCAGGATATAAGAACTGATAATGTTAGGGAAATTAAATATTGAAATTTGGAATTTAAATTGGGTTAAGTTACATAACCAATCAGTTAACCCATTGTAACAAATGAGTGTAGCCTGTCACCGCATTTCGCAGCATGATAGCTAGCTGTCCTACTAACCCACTAACGCTCAACTAGTTTGTTGAATTTAACCTGCAAGGCTGTCATAATAGTGTGGTTATAGTGTCAATCGACACGTTTCGCCAACAGTGGCATGGTTACTCAGTTGGCTAAGTCGTCACATTGACGAGTATAGTGTTGAAGTCTTTCTACAAGTGTGGGTTTGAATCCTGTGTGCAATTCATGAATTCATGTGCAATTCAGTGACTGGCTGGGTAGCTGAGTGGTTATAGTGCTCGCCTAGTAATCAAAAGGTCGCCGGTTTGATCTTGAGAAAAGTCTGTAGCTTCTTGATGGTTCGAAACTGCACCCAGCTGTTCCTGATCATTGGGCTTTAAATAAATGATCCTGACTAATGAAACCGCTGATCTTAGTCAGTAAAAAAGCTACACAGGTCATCACACACCATTCTACACTCATCCTTCACTCATATTTGGGTTAAAATACGCACATAGGTGGCGTCCCCATCTCAATAATTGATTGATTGATTGATTGATGAGATTGTATAAGGGCCCACCTTGAATAAACGGTGTCTGGCTTGGGTGGAAGTCAACAGCATTAGTGAGTTTGGTTAGGAATGCTTGCACACAACTTCTATTTTGCCTCTTTTAAAATTAGTATAGAGGAAGAGGACACGGTTTTTGACTTTTATTATTACTGAACATATCGTTTTGAAATACATAAAGGACATAAAAGAACATAACCTAAAAAAATGATTAATAGATTTTAAAAAATATGTTGGTGTTAATTGGTTAAAAATGGTAGGCTACAGTTTTATCCCTTGTCTAAGTTAATTTCACATTACATGGTTTATGACTGTAGGGTCCAATTGACAAGCCAGTGCAACAGCTGATCTATTTGCACTGACTGGCCGAATCCCGTTCAACTAGAAACCGGGTAGAGTGACAACTTGCATTTAACTTCATGCAACACTGGTGCACAGCGCCACGGTGCGACAACTGTCTGGCCGACTCAGTGGCAGTGGACAGCTGCAAGGCGGTTTTCTGCCATCCCTGTAACCGTGTAGTGTGGAAAGCTCTCATGCTTTTCTGAACACTACTAAAAAATTTACCCGTATGGTTTTTAACTGGGCTGCAAAAACTAGCTCACTCCATTGAGACGGTATGTCATCGAGGACCTGTAAGGAAAACTCTTGTGCTCTGTGGAACAGTGTTCAATCCTGCTATAGTTATCAGTAACTAAATTGGCCACACAAATGTGTAACTTGTGTATTTTTATTACAGCTGTAATGGTGCCGGGTTTGATGATGATTGCACAGGTGTTCCTAGGATGTGACAGGGTTGGTTCTATTGTTATCTTCACAGCAGCTCTCACGGTTAATGGAGCCGTCACTGCAGGCTACCTTGGAAATGGACTCGACATTGCTCCAAACTATTCAGGTACAGTATGTAGACTATTTCCAAGGCAGTTTTTTTTATCTCTTTCAATGACAATGAAGACTTTGTCTATTGCCACTACTGACAATTATGATTCAGATTCTGAACAAAATTGTAATATCTATAGCGCTAAGATTCTACAATATTATAGTATATTGTCAGAACTATACCTGTTAGAGCTGTTGATTGTGCTACAATTTTACATGACTCATATACAAGATGAAACAAGAAATGAATTCAGATTTAGTAGTGTCAGAACCGAATCGCACTGTAAAACTAGTAATGAATAAAATAAAGTCTAAAGCTGTAGACAGTGATGAAATATCAATAGACATTTTAAAAGCTGTAAGTCTGTTTTCTATAGAAGCTATCACAAATCTCGTGAATGAGTCTCTCATCCAGTAATTCCAATTCCGTAGAAACAAAGTATTGGCAGGCTGTTGCCCAACATTTCTGCTCCAACAAAGGTAGAAAACCTTAGACCAATATGAATTCTTCCAGAAATTTCTAAAATATTAGAGAAAATAGTGATTGACCAGATATTTATACATGCAGAACCCTTTTCACTGCTAATAGTTCAAACGTTTACACGGGTTAAATGGGGGGTTTTCCATTGCCCTAACAGCTGGGCAAAGGTTGCTTATTGGCAACCTATAAAAGCCGTACATTTTTGTTGGCATAATAACGGGCTGCTACCTAAACTTCAGTTAGGTTTTAGAATAAAATCATAGCACATGTACGGCACATGACCAATTTATTCTATGAAATTATCCCTGATAGTATATAAGAGATGACTTGATGGCAGGAGTCTGGCAGTGTGTGATAAAGCCAAGACTCTTGGTGCCATTATTGACAGATATTTAAGTTTTTCAGATCATATCACACATATCTCTCATAGTGCAATAGGAAGACTGAGAGATTTGTACAGGTTCAGAGGTACGCTGCCTGAGGTTGCAAAGCTTCAACTTATTCAGTCACTGATATTTTCAGTATTTTACTACTGCCTCCCTGCATATGCAAAAGTGTCACTAAGGTAGACATGTGCAGAATACAGATTTTATAACTTGTGGGCTACAACTAGTGTGTTATACAAAACTTAAATATTTTTGCAGGAACTATTTTTGGGATGGCAAACACCCTGTCTTCCTTTGGAGGTTGGCTCTCTGCGTACATTGTTGGTCTACTCACTTATCAAAATGTAAGTTAGAATATATATTGCAGCTAATTGCAACCATCGATTCTATTACTACAACTGGATCGCGCGCTGTGTGCTGGGTTATCGGTCCGGGCGCTCGGCGCTCCCCCCACCACCTAATGTCTGAGCTGTCTCTCTCTTACTCATTACGTCTTACGGCGTTACCGTGTTTGCGCTCACAAAATATGCTATATCTCTGTTCATAGTGGCTTGATTATCAATTTTTTCAACTCTATGATTTTTACAAAAATCAACTTTATGATGTTTGATTGAGTAATACAGTATCTTGAGCTTAACTGATTCAAACGATCAATATCTCAAATTAAAGCCTTTACTTTACTGATTATTTTGAGTCTAAAACATATAAAAATCATGAACAATACTGGAGCTATTGATTTTTAATCATAAAAACCTCATGAAAAATGGTTTTTATGTTGGTTCTTCACCTTGCGTTTGCTTGAAACTCGTCCGCCTAGAATAACTAATAGCTTATGTGAAAGCCGGTATTTCACTGAAGATTCTTAGACCAAAATAGGATTATACAGGGTGTTTCACGAGAGGTGTCTCAAATTGATTACGGAAAAACGGCTTAACGTACAAGGATGAAATAAAATTATTTCCCGCTAAATCGACCCCAAGGAATAACGTAAAAATATTTTTAACTTTTTCCCAATACAGGGTGTGCCAAAAACTGAGGGTCACTAGTTCGAATCTAGGAATTTTCAAATGTAAACATATGTCATGTTATACATCATTTTAAAGGTATTTAATAGACAAACATTTTGGCGAAAACAGAAATAAGTTATCTTTTCCCATTTCAAAATGGCGGCAGTTTTTTTTTGAAAAAATCTATATTTTTTTAATACTCTGTGTTTCCTATACCAATGCATCTATCCCTTCTCCGGTTGAATTTTCTTACTCGTTATGAAATTAGCTTTACTTTGATATGCTACAAGTAACGGTTTTTTGAAATTATAAAGATTCCAAAAAAATTTATTTTTGAAAATTTGCAAATGCTCATTTTTCAAAAATTTCAAATAGCAACATATGTCAAGTGGCACATCATTTTATAGGTTTTTTTAATTCCTAACAACTTTGTAATTTACACTTACTTCGTATCTCTTTTAGTTTTTGCGTAAATAACAAAAAACCTAATTTTCCTATATCAAATGCATGTTATTTGGGTTTAACACTAAAGGCCCAATTTGATGAAGTGTTAAACCACGTCAAACCCAACTTTTGTCGAAGACCGAATTCTCTTATGTCCCTAAATATGTTCCTAGACTTAATTAATTAATTGTGGCAATAAATTGTATAATTTTTAAAACTTAAAAACTATTATGACTTAACTTCACTATTGCTTTTGTCATTAACTCAATTTTAATCAGGTTTAAAGGCATTTGTTTGTAAGTACAAAGTAGTATGCATTTAGTAACTAAGATAGCCTTAGAACTCTGTATTTTAAGAGGCTTAATAATAGTAATTAAGCTAAAAAAAAATTAAGTCAGGCATTTTTCTTGTTTTAATAATGGTACAACGGGGTTTTTACTGATGTAAAACTAGATCAAAAGCTTCGTACTTTTATAATGAGTACAATGGTGGAAAAAATGGAGGGTGTTTTGATACTATCTAAACTTGGTTTAAAGTGGAAGCAGGTGAATTATTATGCTAATATTGAAGTGTTAAGGGAAGAAAAAGTGTTTGAGTTCTGTTGTTAAAAATATTTTTTTGAAAGGGATGAAATTCTTTTGGTTGGTATATATAGAATATTTAGAAAAAATAAATTTGAAATTATAATAAACTTTGTACAAAATATTTGAAAAACTTATATTTGAGGTACAAAACCTTATTTTTTTAGCACATAACAACCTCAAAATCCATCATTGGTTCACGTTGACTGCCTGGTTTTCATATTCAAGGTTGGAAATATAGTTCTACATGACGTAATTACCAATTTTTGTGGAAATCGTCCAATCCTGAACTATAAATCCACGAATTTGCAGTCATCTTGTAGATTTGAGGGCCTCAAGCCGGCCACCTTGATAAAACCAGACTTCAGGTTGTCCAATTTTGGTAGACTTTTTTCCTGGTACTTAATACACCTGTAACTACACCAAAAGCCGTTTAAAAACCTTTTGTTGGAATTTGTTCTATCTTGGAGGCTTTTTGGGCTAAATCTACCCTTCTATATACCCAAGAAAGGTATTTGACCTATTAACTAACACTTTCATCAGCTAAAAACTCTCTGCTACTGAGTAAACAATATAAAAAAATCAATGTATCTAAATTAATATGAGGAATCCTGTGATGCATACATTGAAATATTTTGGAAAATATAATTTGTGTATATTTTCTGTCATGAAAACACTATTCTAATTTTGTTGTTAATTTAGGATGGATAAAATTATTTTATTATGATTAACAAGAAGTGCACCTTTTGTAGGGTTTCACTTGCCTTGAATTTTTTACATTTTTTTAGGACCCGTCAATGAAAAACTTTAGAAAGAAAATAAGAAGCCTAAAGAAATTTCAAGCTTTTTTACGATTGCATTTTTTTTTTAATATTCAAGTTTTCAAGGCTGTTTTATGAGCCTTCCTCTTCACGTGTCCAAAGGCACTGCTACGGTGTGATAAGACGTTCTTGTTATAACGTGACTTGGTAGGTGACAAAACGAGTCAGTGAACTGTTTAAAGCTAGCAACCTAGCTTGTTGCTCAATAGCTATGACTGTTATGAGTTAGAGTTATAGTTGGGAGGGCGACCGACACTGAACTACAAAGGTGTTAAAATGAACGATTTTATAGAACATTTTTGATTTCAGCAAACTTACGCACAATGGAGGATTGTGTTCTGGATCCTGGTTGGTACATACACTGTCGGGGGTCTTGTGTTTCTGATATTTGGAAGCGGAGATCTGCAGTCGTGGAACACACCTGGCGGGGGGCAAAGTCGGAAACCAGATGTTGAAATGCAAAACATTAAAGAGAAGGAAGCCGTTCCTCTTAGAAGAGACAGTTCTTAAATGCCAAGAACTCACTGACGATTTTCTCACCGTGTTCCATTTCACTAAGCTTACATTCTCATAAGTTACGGTAGCTTTAACATGTACATGTCTCATTCAGTTAACGTGTAAGTTTAAAGCTTGAAACAGGCAATATTTTTTATTTGTTTGTATTTTAGTTGTAAGTTGGATTTTACTAAGAGACATTTCGAATTTGAATGAATGAGCACGGAGATAATAGATTGAATCATTCCCATTAGAGTTGTAAAAAGTCTGGTATTTTGTGTATACGTTTTATTCATAGGTGAAAACGATTTTGATCCTTAGAATTAGAATTTAGATTTTGATCTGTTGTCAATATTGGGACCAACAATATACACACAAAATAAAACAAGAATAATTGGAAAATATTTTCTGCTATGCTTGATGGGGTTTTAACAGTCATAAAAGTATTCTACTTTTTAACAAGTAAAAAAAATCAGGAGGAAATTCTTAGAATTAAAACAATTAAAAAAAAATACCTAAACTACTTTGCCAAACTGCAAAGAAGGCTATGTTAAGGCTGTTAATTAATCAAGCAGGCGTTGTTATGTTACTAATTTGGATCAATTATATTTAGAAACAAAATGTTGCCAATTCTTGTTATAAAAACACCTTGACAAATTTAAAACTGCAATTAATGATAGAGATTGTAGAATAATACTCCATTGTAGTGTGTTATTAACGCTTAGAATAAAAAAATGTTGTAAAATTGTATAAATACAAGAAAATATTTTTTTATTGGCTGTTACCTTAGAATTTAGATACACCATATTATGTAGAGAAATAGACATTCTAATAATTATAAGTTGTATCCACTCCTAGAATGAAAATTAACTTGGCTCAACAAGTCTGTGACAGAGTTGGTCATAGATTACAGGAAATATATCTCCACCATACAAAAAAACCTACTGTAAAGCATAGCATGTTCCCATCTACTGTTGTTCATTTTATTATTATTGTTCATATCAACCAGTTTTCATACTGTTTAGTTTTATTACTATAAAAGTATGAACAAAAAAAGAGAAAATAGACAAAAATTGTAGCACACTCTATGAAAGACTCATTTAACTACTTTCTTGTTGAGTAAATACAGGCTACAATTGGTCAATAAAGATGGGATGTCTACTTCATATTCGTAAGCCAACCCCTAACAAAAATTTTACATTATGACAATGTTAATAAATGATCAAATACATGAATGATTAAGTAATGGTAACTATACTAAACTAGTGCTATACAAGTTCAAAATAAGATGTACTACTATTAAAGTATCACAACTAACTGTAAGGACTATCAGAAATTTAAATTTCTAGTAAAAATTTAGGTAGTAAATATTTTTGAAATTTGTATTTATTGTTTGTATTTTTTTGCTATTTTTAAGAGTTGTATATATGTATTGTATTATATTTTTATTCATAAAACTTGTTTGAAGGAATAATATACTTAAGAAAGAGATGAACTATTATGGAAATGTTATATTTTCTGATATTAAAAGATGTTGCATTTTCTTAACATATTATTTCTGTGTTATAAACCTTTGTATTTTAGCAAATTTTTTACACAAAGTTGAGCTGTTTGCACTACCTGGGTGAGACCTTAACCCAGGTAATATTGTTACTATTAGGTAATATTTTTATAGGGACCATGGGTAGGAGTTAGTCATTTACAATGACTTAAACATGTAGTTTTTCTCCCCACTCAAATATATCCATCACTATACAGTATCTAGTGCTCACCTCGCCTTGTAAGTAGGACGTTGCCAAGTCGATCCTGAGAAAATTCAAAATTGTTTTAATGGTTCTAAACTGGACCCAGTTGTCATAGGTTTTATCATAATCTATCTATATCTATATATTATATAAAAGGCAAAGTCCTCACTGACTGACTGACTGACTCACTCACTCACTCACTCATCACTAATTCTCCCACTTCCCATTTACCTAGGAGGCTGAAATTTGGTACACTGATTCTTTAGGCATTAAATAGGAAAACCAAGTTGTTTTTATTCTGATCGGACTCTCGGGCTCCGCCCCAGTGGCTCTGGAGTTCCCCATGTTAACCTTATGAGTATTATTTAAATGGAATTAATGAATCTTAACAGCTGTTTCAATTAAGCAAGTTGGTTCTGTTCTATGATGTACAATAGCATTAAAGTTACAAGGATTACCAACAGGGTGCAGCACTATTATTTTTTTTTAATTTATGACAACAGCTAATTTGCAACCAAAAGGTGAGTGAGCGTAGCGAACGAACTTCAACCTGGAGGCGAGTTAGCGTAGCGAACGATCTAACCTGAAGGCAAGTGAGCGCAGCGAACGAGCTCCAACCTAAAGGTGAGTGAGCGTAGCGAACAAACTTCAACCAGGACGTGATTGAGCCATGCGAACGAGCTCACTTATGAAGTAAAACGGGGCAAAGCCCGTGGGTACAGCTAGTAATATTATAAATGTGAAAGTTTGTGTGTTTGTATGAAGTTCAATCACGCATTAACTACTGGTCGGATTGTGTTGAAATTTGGTATGATGATAGCTCACATTCTCGATTAACATATAGACATATTGTTACCTCAAAAATCCTTTTGGGCTACGCCCCAGTGGCTCTAGAATTTCCCATGTTAACCTTTTGAAAGGTTAGGATTTTACCAGCTGTTTCAAATAGGTACACAATTTGTTTCTATGATATTCGATAGCATTAAAAGGTTATACGGTTTACCAACAGGGTGCAGCACCATTAGTTCTTTATACATTTATGACAACAGCTAATTTGAACCAAGCAGCAACAAAAACTTGTGAGAACTTTAACTTCTTTCTATTGTTTAGGTGAAGTGGTATAACATTATGGCTATGGTAGATGTGCTATATAGTGTACCGTAAATTATAGTAAACCAAATTTTCTCAAAACGTGTCCTCTTCCATTGCAAATGCAAATCAAGAGTATAACTGCAATAAGCTTTGTACACTTATACGCCAACCCCGTACGAAGGACGGGTACTCGTCTAGTAATATAATACCCCCGCCGCAGCAAACCTGCAGACTAAGCGAATTTCCATTAACCTGATTGGATTTACACTAAAATGCCTCCATAAAAATAGCACATTTATTTCCTATTTAAATAGAATTAGTTTAACGAGTACTTAGGGTTGCTGCAACAGGGAGGGTAAAAAAGATTTTTTTTTTAATGATAATAGTTTAGTAAGAAATAAAAGTATTTTCCAAAATCGATCAAAATATGTTCATAAACAAGCAAACTACAACAGTTGACTTATTCTCCATAAGAATAACATGGGAATTTTAAAATTAAAATTTTTTTGAATTTTCTCCGTAACAATTAGGCGCATAACAACGCTTCAATATACTAAATTATTTGTTTTTTTAAGCTCTACAAAATGGTTTAAAAAGATATTGTGAAATTTTGTGCTTTTAGGGTCAAAAATGGGAAAAACCTATTTTTACCCCATAAAACCCCCCATAAACCCCCGTTCCCATAGTCCGATCATGCTGGTTCGCGAACTCATTCTAGTTTATCCCACCTTACATCTTCAAACCAAATTTTATCAAAATCGGACAAAAATTACTCAAGTTATCGTGCGGATGGACACATATATATATATATATATATATATCTCTATATATAGATATATAAAAATTTGAACGAATGGTGTTTTTGGCCTCTGGGGACATCAAAATGAAAAAGTAAATCGGTCCCGGGCTTAGGTCTTACCATGAGACCTACGGTAATAGCTACTTCCCTATAGGGAAATTCGCTAATAATTATTGGCCTTGACTAAAGAACAGCTGATCTAAGTTTGCAACAAAGCCGTCAATAAATCCAACATATTCCTTCTTTCATCTACGCCTTTAAATATACACCATGGTGAGTCAGCATCATTAAAACATCTCTAAATATTTTAAAAATTTTAAACTACCGTATAGTAAATTCAATAAATTGCACTCTAGTAGCTGTAATGTATTATTCATCAGTGCATAAAATAAATGTATTCTAATGGTTATAAGGAAGACTCCTAAGTATCTATTCCATTTGCATTTGCATCTCGATAGTAGATGCAGCTCTTAGCTTGCAGCGGACGGTATCCTTGCATGAAAATGCCTGAATGATATTCATATAACTCTAAAGTTTGACTTTTAGACAAATCTATTTAGCTCTTGCTTATCTCACAATCCTAACCTACTCACAGCAACATTATGTAGCCTAAGAATAAATTTTAGTTATACTGCTGTATAACTATTATAAATATTATTAGTGCTCTAAGTTATATTTAGTTTAACAGTCATTTAACATTTTAATCCTAAGCAAGCGATGACGATGAAAAACGAGAAACACTTTATCCTATTTGGTATGTATACATATATACTAGTTGGGAGCATTACATTTTACAAGGATTCATTTTCAAACACTCAGACACTAAAAATAGTTTTTAGTATTCACCCCAGCAGTGGCATTGTGACAGAGAGATAAACCTGTATATTTGAGAAACTTCTTATCGGCCAAAAATATACAACATTCGACTGCTAAGAAATGTGTTTAACTTCATAGCTCAACATCTACTTTACTTACAAATGTAAAATGGAAACTACCTGATAAATGGTATGTCGGACATGCAAAATGCAATTATCTTTAAAAGTGACAGAGAATGTCTCAAAGGAAATAATCAGATTTTGTCAAGGCTCAAATGACTTTAACTGACTAAATGTAGGGGGATCGAATTGAGATATTACCTCTGTCAAATATGATACTAAGTTCACTATTGAGCGGAACTCTCGGAGCTCTACCATTTTACAAGCAATACTATATACACCTAATGTTCTACTTATTATTTTATGCTATGGCCAGCTATTCTTTAGGTGGGTATTCAATTCAATTCAAATTATCTTTATTCATCTAGTACATTAGGAATATAAACATGAATGGTGTCAGTGTCACATTTCTTAATAATAAAATATACATGCTTAAAGTAAATAAGAGAAAAATTGTAAAAAAAACAAAGAACCAAAAGAAAAAAAGAAAATGATATAAATAAAGAAAAAGTACTTTGATTAGTAGGGAAAGAGAAGTCAATTACAGTTCATCAAATGAATAAATAGGTACCGGTAATGAGAAATTTCTCAAGTTTGTTTTTAAATTTTTTGATACTTAATTCTGCTTTGTATGTCCTTTGGAAGTTTATTATAGAATTTTGTGGCGTATTTGGGTTTCTTTTCAAAAAGGTGCAATTTATGAGGACTTAATAGTAAAGCTGCCTTGATTTCTTGTAAGATAATCATGTTTCTTTCCAACCAGCTCTATTTCCATGAAATCTGTTTTAACTGATATACCACTGTTTCAAAAACATACATACCGAAAACTGTCATTATATTTTATGATTTAAACTTTCTCTTAAGAAGTTCTAAAGTGGAAGGTTGTAAATTATTCTTATAGTTTTTTTTTCATTCTTAATATAGATTTTAAGTTTCTCTTATTGGTTTAGCCATAAAGGGAAATCCCAAATGAAATCACTGAATGTATGTATAAAAAGTAAACTACCTTCAAAGTTTCTCTTCCCCTTTCACAATAGTTTTTTAATATAATAAGGCATGATCGAAGAAACTTTTGGAAGTACTTTTTTCAACATGACCGTTCCAATTTAGTCTTTTATCTAATCCTAAAAATGTAGTACTACCCTTAACTTCAAGATGTGTGGGTATGTTCTTGAAGAAATTATATTGTAACCCAGTTGTTTATGCAACACCTCTGTGCTACATAGAGCAGGCCCATAATTAAAAAATCCCTCTCTATAAGGTGCAAGAAGCATTTCATGTAACAATTGGGGAAACAACGTTTTTAGGGTATTTCGACCCTGCTGAGTACGAATCTGCCTGTTGCCAACGCGAAATTTGAACCGGAAGTGCGGTATCCAAGATGGCGGCCAAAACTCTTTTTGCCCCATATCTCCCTTGTTAGTTGGCCTAAAATAATGGTTTAAACGTGTATATAGGGGGTTTTCAGATGCCAAGCACATTAAAAACACTCAAGATTTACTTAAATTAAGTTTTGAGGGCATATCTTCCAAGATGGCAACCGAGATGGCCGACAAACACTCTTATTTCCGTATATATATATCGCTTGTTTGTTTGTTTAAATTAATTATTTAAACGTCTGCAAAGGTATTTTCTCGGATGTTAATCACATTGCAACATTCATTATTTACTTCCTTTGAGTTTAGATTACATATGTTTCTAAGATGGCAAAAAAAACTTTATTGTGCTTACGTGAGCTCCGTGCGTATTATTGTATTTAGTGTTTAAAACCAGTCAGATATATATTAGTGGCTGAATATTTGATAATATTTCTGAGATACCAATTGAAATTTTGCAATGTTAAAGTAGAAGGCGAATTGTTTAATGTACTCTGGTGGCACTGTAGATAACGCGTAGTATAACAGAACCTGTAATTAAGTAATTGTAGAATTAATTGTGTATGATGTTGACGAATTTATCACTTATTTAAGGTGTCCAGTTA